TCTCTAATATCTGGTTCCATCTCTCTTTTCTTCAGTTCTATCTCTCTTCCATCCAGTTCCATTGCTTCTCTATCTCTTATATACAGCTTATATTGCCTTACATGCAGGTCCATCAGTCTTTTATCCAGTTCGGTCTGTCTTCTCTCCGCTCTTTTCTCAATTTCTCTCTGTCTAATATCCAGTTCCATCGCTCTTCTATCCAGTTCCATTGCTCTTTTCTCCAGTTCTCTCTCTTTAATATAGGGTTCAATCACTCTTTTCTCTGGTTGTCTCACTCTAATATCTGGATCCATTGCTGTTTTCTCCTGTTCTGTCTCTTTAATATCTTGTTCCATCTCTCTTTTCCCCAGTATATCACTTATAAACCAGCACATCGGTGTTCTCTGCAGGTCCATCAGTCTTTTATCCAGTTCTGTTTCTCTTTGCTTCAGTTCTTTCTCCCTTCTCTCCAGGTCTGTCTCTCTAATATCTGGATCCATTGTGCTTTCATCCAGTTCCATCGCTCTTCTATCCAGTTCCATGGCTGTTTTGTTCAGTTCTCTCTCTTTTCTCTCCAGCTCCCTCTTTGTTGCCTCGGATAGAGCTCTTGCATGCGACTGTATGATGCGACATTAAAATGGTATTTTTACAAGTTTTTTATACTTTGCTTCTCACAGATTCTTTTAGATTTACATTTATTCATTCATTGGAGAAAAAGAATCATGCTTTTATCCAAAGTCGCTTCAAAGTATATATTCATCTCTGTGTGTTCACGGGAATAGACATTATTGTCACTGAACCCGTGACCTAGTGTAACGCCCTATTTGAGCTGAAGGAATGCAAATACATTTCCAAAGCTAGAGAGATGATAATGATTCACATTATCATCTCTCTAGCTTTGGAAATATATAGCTTCATTTTTATATCTTCTAATTCTGTCCATTTTTTCTCAGTTTATTATTTTCCTCACATTCAGCATCAAAATCTTAAATGTTTTAGCTTCTCTGAAAAAGTCCAAATGTTTTGTGAAAAAGAAGTTCTATTTGTACGTCACATTGGATCAAAGCATCTGCTATGAACAAATGCAAATAAGTAAAACAGCAGAATAACTGTATCACAACCTTTTATTTATTATTATAAACAACTGCATCCTCTATGAATGTGAATTACTTATGGAGGTCATAAAGCTGAATATGGTAAACTGTATCAAAATTATTATAAATTTAAAGGGATAGTTCACCTTCTGTTGCTGGTCCCCATTGACTTGCATAGTGTTTTTTTTCCATGGAAGTCAGTGGGGACCAGCAACTGAAGGTGAACTATCCATTTAATTATTGTAAATAATATAACATTATTACATTAATATATAATTAGAATTACTATAAATAATATGACTCACCTCTGACGCCCCCATTTTCTCCTGCAAGTAAAAATACAGCCATGTCACAATGATCAATGATTTTTGCCTGAAATGACAAGAGTTCAGTTGAGCAGGATAATCATAACAATAAAACAACCTTCGTTTTTTTGTATTACAAGTTTTCTAAAAGGTCATGTTTAGCTATGCAAATGAGATATAACCCTATTAAATATGCACTAATTTGCATACATTTCCAGAATAAATCTGAACAT